ACGGAAAACAGCATGGAGCCCCCTCAAGAAACTAAAAATAGAAATACCATGTGATCCGATAATTCCACTGCTGGGTTTTCAGAGAAAGCAAACCGACTATTTCGAAAAGACCTAGGCATCTCTACATTGTCTGCAGTGTTTTTTATAATAGCCAAGAAGTGGAAGCAGCCCAGATGCCCATCAATAGATGAACGGATAAAGATGTGTGTGTAGATACACACACGATGGAATATCATTCAACCATAAAAAAGAACGAGATCTCTCCATTTGAACCTAGAAGGTATTATGCCAAATGAAATAAGTCAGAAAAAGACCAGTCCCATGTGATTTCACTTACACTGGGATCTAAAAAACAAGACAAACTTATAAATACAGAGAACAAATTTGTGGTTGCAAGAGGGCAAGGGGCTAGAGGAGTACTCAAAATACGTAAAGGTGATCAAGAGGGACAAAGTTCCACTTATAGAGTAAGTCATGGCTGTATGATCAATATTGTCATGACTTTGTATGGTGACAGATGGTAACTAGATTTATGGGGATTGTTTTATAATGTAAGTGTCAAATCACCATGAATGTACCCCTGAAACTTATATAATATTGTACGTCAACTATACTTCAATTAAAAAGTGCCATCACTGTAGTATTATTAATTCATTCATGCGTCGCTTATATTCACGTGTGAATGAGTTTTGACTTGGAGCTGTAGGACGGTCGGACATATAATGAGATATTTTACTTGTTCGTATATGATTAGTGTCGTACAAGGTAATTTCATTTACACATTAGAAGTCTGTGTTTCTTTTTCTTTTAAAGGTATCTGTATTCAAATTTCAGAAACACTTCTCTGGAGGAGAAGGGGGTGAAGTCTATTCTTGTTAAAAGCAGAGAAGGTCCAGGAAGAAAAGGATTAGCAGCAGTAGTCAGTGGTCACCTAGGGTGACTGTCTGGGTGGCAGCGGTCTTGGCAGAGGGGAAGCGCTACATTTTTGTTTCTGACCAGCTGGGCTGCAGGGAAATAGAAGGTCTTATGGATCCTCTCCATAGGTCACCTATTTTTAGAAAGCTGGTTTGTCAGAAAATCAGCATAAGAGGCATCAGACATAAATGAGGAGGAAAGTTTCTGTGTGTCTGGGTCTGAGAACACATTATGAAAAACAGGATGCTTATGGGGGTGGTTATTTAAGTGGGTTTTTGATGAAGTGGGGTTTTCAGAGTCATTGACAGTGCTGGTGATTAACCACGACGTGCAACTACACGGGGGCATCTGTAGATTATACATGGTCATAATGTGTGAGCAAATCTTCAACAAGAGGCCAAATAGGCAACAGTATTTTCTTGCAAATCTGTAAATTGATTGCATCAGTGATGGTGTCTGACTTTCATTCAGGCAGTTTGTATGACATCTCTTCCAAAAGGCCAATGATAAGCAAAAAATTTTTAAAAGGTGTATGTGTGTGTCTGTATATGTTTATGTTTTATGTTTATGATCTTTTCTCTCAATTTTTTAAATATGTATATGGAATCTGGCCAGTACATTATACATCGAATACCGTCAGGGGAGAGAGAGAGAGCCTTAGGTACCCAAATGGTTTGCAGAATGATAATCATTTTCCCTTGACCTAGAGGCTGCCAAGAAGTAGTAAGGACTAAGTCAAATACATAGAGACCAAGTGTGAGGCTGAGTTGCCAGCAGGCTTTTAAAGTCGATCAAAAGATTTTTCCAAAATACCATAGAGCTGATGCAGTCCCAAGGCAGCTATTAAGACTTGATATACAGAAGTAAAGGGCTATGAGAACCATGAAAATAAATCACTTTTTTTTTTAAAGATTCATTTATTTTAAAGAGACAGCATGAGAGAGTGAGAGCAGGGGCGGCGGCAGGGGGTGTGGGAGAGAATCTCAAGCAGCGTCCTCACTGAGCACAGAGCCTGATGCAGGGCTCAATCTCATGACCCTGAGATCATGACCTGAGCAGAAATCAGGAGTTGGATTCTTAACCGACTGGGCCACCCAGGTGCCCCAAATCACTTTTTTAATCAATGGGTCAAGTTCCACTCAGAAAGTCCAGAATCATATGCAACTGATGAATCACAAAATTAACCCCTGAAATTAATAATACAGTATACGTTAACTAAATTGAATTTAAATCAAAATTCTAAAAAAAAAATCTTAGAATAAAATAAATAATTCCTTTAAAAAAAAAGCCCAGAATTGGTATGAACACTTGAGAACATTAATTTTTCTTTTATAAGCATTTACCAATGAGCTCTATTGAGAGGACTCTATTAACTATGTGCACAGAAATATTAAAACTTTATTAATGGTATGCTATCAATGGCATCACATATACAGTATAAATATTAAAGAAATCTCAAAAGCAGAAATACAAATATAAACAAAAGAATGGGAAATGAATACTCCTAGAAAAAGAAGAAAAGGAGTCAACTGGCTAGAGGAATTTAGGTTTTGAGGCAAATATATACAATAAAAAAATAAGATAATTCTCTAGACAAAGAAAGGATCGGAAGATTTTCCCTAATTTTAAATGCAATTAGTATGAAGAATTAAATGTCTATAGTTTAATTTTTTTAAAAGATTTTATTTCCTTGTGAGACAAGAGTAAGAGAATGAAACAGAGAGAGAGAAGCAGAGCCCCCACTGAGCAGGGAGCCCAATGCGGGGCTCGAACCCAGGACCCTGGGATCATGACCTGAGCTGAAGGTGACACTTAACTGATTGAGCCACCCAGGGGCCCCATAAATGTCTATCATTTTAAATAAAAATCCTCATAATATTATTAATGCTATTAATATTGTTTTCATTTAAATTCATATTGTGAATTTTTACCATTTCCTTAGTTGATAATCTACTGTTATAACCATTAATTTGATTTTTATACTTCGTCTTGTACAGCTACAGAAAAACCTGGGACATTTATCAGACAGTGTTGCAAGTTCATTTTCTTTCTCACCCTTATTTTGTCTCCTCCTTTCTCTTTTGGCAGTGTGCTTGCCCAAAATCACGATTTCTATACTTCACGAAACGTTAAGGCAAAACCATCATCCCCTAACTTACTCCGTTCATTATAATGATAAACGAATGAAGATCTCTACTTGAAATAGTGAAGCAATCCAAGCAAAAAACACCGAAACATGCTGAAAACTGATTTCATGCCTTTATTTTATTAGTAGATATACTGCATCACACGTCTCTTTATGCCCATTACGTCCGTTTTTCTAAACTTGCACATATTTCACACAGTGAGATTTTGTGTGCTTTTCAACATGTGATACTGAACTGGATAAAACAAAATGTCATTGAAAGACACAGGGCTGGAAGGACACAAAGAAACAATGCAATGAAATTACTTAACTTTACAGATAACACATCAGAAACTACAAAGATATGTACTGTTATCATTATACACAAACTAAGTAGCGCTTAAAAATTAGACTCCCATTCACCCAGCGTTGACTTCACTGCTCTAATGAAAGAATCTAATCTAAGGACCTAAAGGCATTTGCATATACTCTCTTCAAGCTCTCTCTGAAATTTTGCATGCCTTTTATGACCTCTCAAGGGCTATTGGAACGCACGCAGCTTGAGGGCCTACAACTTGGGGAATTTAATTCCTTTGATGCCCACTTATTTTTTAAGACTTCACATTAAAAAGTAAACACTTTACAGAAAGAGACTTATACTTTAGATTTCATGAGTGAATCCTGGTTCTTAGGCTGGGTTGAGGGAAATGAGGAAGGATGGGGACGTGGGGAGAGGCCTGGGGGAGGCATGTGGGGTTGCCTTCCATAGGATGGTGCTGCAAGTCCTGAGGGCACACATATATAGCGTTCCCTCTTTAGATCTACCATCTCCTTACACCTCCCAGCTTTCCTGTAGCCATGTTTCCATTCTCCTGGTGGCTCCTAAGGTCTGGCATTTCAGGCCTGATGCCAACCCCACAGCCGTGATGGGGGCAGGGGGGCCATGCCCTGGATACTTGATCCCTCAGCTAGGCAGGGAATGGCCAACACCGGCAGCGCGCGTGCACCTGGGCACACGTTCTGTTTGCCATTGGCTTGCTTGCTAGTGTGTTGGTTGTGAAGACAGTTCCTCAAACACTTCCCAATGCTGATTCCCATCGGATTCGGATACAGGGCTGGGATGGAGAACGCCCACTCCGGACACTTTCTCTTTTCTACCCTAGGGCTGCGATTCTAACAGCTACAGAACTTCGTCAACTCTTGTCAACCTCACATTTGAAATGTTCACATGGTCTGCTTCTAAGGGAAATCTCTGATTCATGAATTGAGCACACGTGGTTTTCGAAGTTTAGGAGGACCTTGTGTTTATCGTGTTAACTTTCAGCTCTCTCTGTTGTTTTTCACTGCCCCGGTATTTGTGGTTTCTGGCTATGTTTTTGCATATTTTTTTACTATTGCCCAGCTCTGAATTTTCTGTGAGCATATTTCCTGTATGTTTGTTTACATTTGATAAATATGTTGATAGGGTATAGCCCAGAAAAGAATTTTGCGGAAATCCAAAAGATAATTCCCTGTGGAGTGGCGTAACCTTTTGGTGATGGTTATTCAACAATTTCCTAATCTGTCCTGTGACTGAACACCTGAGGCCTTGACAGTAGTGCTGTGCTCAGTTAAAGAGCACTCTATTGCCATGAGGATAATTTACCATCAGACGTTGATGCTGATAATTCCAAGCATTAGTTTATAAGATCACTTTGGCATAGAATTAAATATCGTAGGAAAATGTTCATATGATATGTAATCAAAAGCTTTCTTCAAAGCATACCTTAAAATAGAGGAGAATTATCACCCCTATGGGATTGAAAAACAAACATTTTTAATCTCGGTGTTTCAACACACCTATTATTAGATAACAAGACCTATTTTTTTTTAAAAGCAAAGTTCTAATCTGCATTCCACTTCTATTGTTACCATAATATTTTTCTGGGAGGAATTTTATTTAAAAAAGAGAGACTCTTACCTAAAAAGCTGGAAACCGTGGGAGGCCGGGGAGTGAAAGAGTCATTATTCACAGAAACAAGAGGTGATGCATTATCTCCAGAATTGTGTTGTAATCCACCACTCTCAGAATCGTGTTGTAATCCACCAGTCTCAGAATCAGGTGGTATGCTATCCCCAGAATCAGATGGTAATAGGCTATCCCCAGAATTAAACAGGGATGTATTATTCATAGACCCAGGCGATCCTGTATTATTCACTGTTTCATCCGTCTGCAAATCACTGCCTGAGAAAAAAAAATATAGCCAATCAAAATACAACTTGCCCTCAGTTCACAGTTATACGCATAAAGCAGAGCACAGCAGTTGTGTCAAGAAGAGTAGACATCCAGGGCCATGTGGGTGGCCCAAGCAGTGGAGCGGCTGACTCTCCGTTTCCCTGAGGTCAGATGTCATGGGTCATGAGGTCGAGCGCCCTGGGCTCTGTGCTCAACAGGGAGTCCCCCCCGGCCCCGCCCCAGCTAATGTGGGCACACATGCGGTCTACCTCGAATAAATCTGAAAGACTAGACTTCTAGAACTTTTATTCACATGTACGTTAAATTCAGGAACAGTGAATCTTTATATATTAAAGGATTGCCTTAAACTTTGTTACCTTTTTTTTTGACCAAGAACTACTATATTTGTAAGATCATATTTCTTGGGTAACTGTAGTTCTTGGTCAAAAAAAAAGGTAACAAAGTTTAAGGCAATCCTTTAATAAATGTTATGGTCAGGTAAAGCTTATTTTAGATGCTAGGTTCCCAAGAATGATTTGCCCTCAAATCATTATAAACCTAAGGGATTTCAGCAGCCCTCTTCTTATGCTTACATTACACCAAAATATTCTCAGGAAAGAAAATTAAATAATGTAACCTAAAAAAAAAATCTATGGAAATAAATTCCCTTAGACATTTCTTAATTTTCTGTTCCTTTTTTTTTTAAAGTTAACATAGTGACTAATTTATATCAGATTTAGTGGGTGCTAATATATCTGTATGGCTGAAACGAAATCTGGGTAAATTTGAGCATCTTTTAAGATGCCTTATTTTTGAGAGAATGCCTCTAAATGAAGTAAAATGAGATGGGAGATAAACTTACTGCCCTCGCAGGTGTTCTTGCATTGTTCCAGCGTTTCAAAGTTGTTTAGATTGCCAAGGCACCCACCGTACTTGAAGCCTTCGCATTTACTTGACACGTTGTTATAATAATACCTAGTGACAAAACCTCGACAGAGTCCGCTGTCTTCATTCATATGGCAGTAATCTGGCTTTTCTGGAACTGATAAGAACGTCAGAAAGCAATATTCCTTTTTGTGAATGACTTCATCGTGCTAAATGTCTAAAATAACTAAAATGAAGTTATTTAAGGAGTATACATGAAATGTTCAAGTTACAAGGTAGAAATGGAACTTTATCCCCAAACGCACAATATTACAATTGTCCACTAGGTCTACGATGACATTTAGAATAAGGAAGACGTTATCTGTCATCACACGTTGTTGCTGCTGGAATTTCAAGTTCTAACTTCCTCATAGTAAATTAATAGGGTGACAGCTATCCACTATTTCATGAATCGAAAGAATAAGAGAGATTGTTATTTTACCCTTGGTTTGGAAGACATATTAAAAAATTCATAATATTATAAAATATGATGGTAAAATTTCGGTTCAGTTATTCTTTTTTTTTTTCGGTTCAGTTATTCTTATTAGGCTTCATGCATTGGCATTTAGGAAAGATACCGGAATATTTCCTATTTTTTCAGGGGTAGGCTCTCGTTAGGAAAGGGAGTGTAACGTATTGCTTCACTACAATGGTTTCAATTTTTTAAAATTTATTGGAGTAGAAGCCTTAGGCAGATGGAAGCTTTCACGGCTATTCTTGGAGTTTCCTGAATTCTTACACCGGAACCTGTACCAGGTTAGGCATGACATCCTCCACCACTATGTCTCTTATTTTTCTTCTTCCCAGCATTGGAGTGACTCCAACAGTGCAAAGGCAGAAAGGAAATACATGTGCAGGGATTGGAGAGGCTTTTGAAAAAACCTAATGCCCATTCTTTGACAGTGCTCCAAACCAGACTGGACACGGCTGTCACGACAGGTGCGTCCCCGTGATCCACGTTACAGGCCTTTTACACAATCCTCTACAAAGAAAATTAACTTCTCAAAATCATGGTCGCAAGAAATATGGGGCTTGAACTTTTTTACAGTAAAGTTCCAATTTCCCCATTTTTCCCCCTGCGACTATATTATCACAGCGTGACAAAGATGAACTATGGTATTCTTTTACATTTTAAAGCAACTGGTTCTCCTATCTCAAGGAAGCAAGAACTCAGGAGTGTTTTACTGTAAAAAGAGCATATATGTAATCCTGTTAACGATTTCTGCAACAATTGCAAGTCTTTGAAACACTGATCTTCTAGGAGGGCATTGCTTTATTAAGTAAAACATCCTATTGTAATGTAATGTAAACTCTGTCTTCTGGAACTTCTCAAGGTATACCAATTTGAAAGTTATTTTGTTTGTTGTTTATTGCCTCTTGTTTCTCAAGGTGAATGTTACTGTTATCCCTATAGTATGAATTTTTGAGGTTAAGTGTAATTTATGGGACAAGGGAAAAAACAATTCTTTAGATTTTTATAATACTTTTTTTATAAGAGAATGAAGAAAAATATATTCAATTGCTATCATTTTGATTGGCTTTGGCCTTAGTATGTACTTCTTATGAAATTTCACTTATTTTTAAAGATTTTATTTATTTTTTCCTGAGAGTCACACAGAGAGAGAGGCAGAGACACAGGCAGAGGGAGAAGCAGGCTCCCTGTGGGGAGCCTGATGCAGGACTCGATCCCAGGACCTGGGGTCATGGCCTGACTGAAGGCAGATGCTCGACTACTGAGTGAGCCAGTTGCCTCTTAGGAAATTTTAAATCATCTTAACAGAGAATATAAGAATTCTATGTTTAAGGAAACGGAGTGGGTAAAATATATTGCATCTAAAGAATAGAAAACAATAAGAAATTAGGCTGAGAAGTATAGCTAAGAAATTACACAACTAGAAGTTGCTATTTATGAACCCCTGTTCTAGGACATAAATTTATTTTAAGACAGAGTTGAAATTGCACACCTGTGAAATGATTCTCTTGGGCCTACAGTTTAAGATTACAAATCAAGAAATCCATGCCCCATATTCCTCAGATAAAGAAACATTCTTACAAACCTGCAAATACAATCCTTGCTCTAGACTTAACACTCAGTTAAAACACGAGTACAGACTAGCTACAGACGAGCTTCCGCCCGCCACCTTGTTTTCACTACTAACTTTTGTCTGAGGCTGCCTACTGGACAATTATCTTAAGCCAAACTATTTAAAAAAAGAGGTTGTCTTTATACCTGTCCCAGTGTTGATGCCAGGAAGCATGTCACAAAGTTAGAAGTCCAAATGCACAGAGGTCTTTATTATGAATTGGTTTTGGCATCTGCACCCTTTTTAACACATGTGAATGGTGTTGATAGCTGGGCTTTATTCTCTAGTTTCCATGTATAATATCAATTAAGAATTAAGAGAAGAGGAACTCTTAACTAGGAACCTAAGTACATATCTACCTCACTGCCCTCTGAACGCCTGCTAAGCCAAGCAACTCTCCAACCTACCTCCCTGACTCTTGACGAACGTATTCATTCAAGTTGCTTCTTCATCTTTGCTCCTCCTTTGACACAGCAAGTCTCTCATCCTTGGGTCTCCTACTTACTGTCGTATTTCCTGTAAATGCTGAAGTCGAACTCTACAGGCTGGGGATCTGGGGGCTTGGTGATCTCACTGAGCAAAGCAGTGTAGTGAACTGAGTGGGTTATACTTAAAATCGAGGAGGCCTTATTTTGCTCTTTTACTACCACCATTCTAGGATGATCAAGAAATCCATAAACCTACACAGAAAGGGGGACACTTTTACCTTGTATCTAAGGAAATGTTACATTTTTTTCTTAATCAAGTTAATGCCAATCTGACAAAACTCACAAAAAAAATGTAGATTCAGACTTGCTAAAGGTAAAAGAGCTTTATTTTTTCCTTAACATGCTCATTTTATAGTCAAGGAAATAGGGGTTCAAACTGCAGAGGTGATTCCTTCAGTTCATAGCAGAGGTATGCTCCTTTGCATATCAGATTCTTTTTCCTCGCACCTAATAATTTATACTGTGCTTTGTGATTTACGAGGTTGTTTTTCATACACTTTCAAACACTTTTCATATAGTGTTTTCAGACACTGTGATTTTCAAATCACACAATTTTTGACTGTTTTGGACCAACTGACTTTGGTAAAAATACAATACTACATTTTGGGGAAAATGTCAATAAATATGAATCAGTAAAAAAAAAGAATGATTGAATTCTAAATCATTAAGTATATGTGAAATAACATAATTTTATAGTATGTTTTATCTGCATATCACTTTTTCCTAATTTCACATTTTTGAAAAAAATACCCTGGTGTGTTTGTATTTCCTTTCACGAAGATACCATCTTTTGCTTGGTGTACAAAACCCTCTATTTGTATATATCCTGTATTCTTTGATACTACATATAATGAGTCTCATTTAATTGAAACACTGAGCATTTTTGTAAGTTCAGTATTTATAGAAAGCTATTTCAAAAGTTGTAAATAAGTACATCCATGATGGTGTTTGTATAAACTTTGCCACTGAATTTATTTTATAAATTTTTATTCAAAGTCTAGTAAGTCTTAAGTTTATCAGTCACAAAAGTTTTCAGTTCTTTCTCACACAATTAAATAAAAGTCAGAGAAATTAAAATACACTTTGAATTTTGTAACTCTTTCATGTCCTGAGTTAAACTGATTTCTTTGTTCAATATTTTCCTCATTCAAATTTAAATGACATACAAGATAATTGGACCAAGTCAGTTTCTAGATCTTTACTGAAAGGAGTGTCTTCCCTGATCTATTGATATATTTTTTCATGTGCTAATATATAAACATGGGGCACATATATATATATATATATAAATATATAATATATTCATCAGAAGATTATTTCTAGTTAAAACCAATAAATAATTTGAATCATAAAATAAAAAGTATGTATACACGGTAAATAATATTGACAAAAGCAATCACATATTGTTAAATATCTCCATTTACTTCTGCATATAGACCGTTGACAACTCAAAGACACATACGAATTCAGCAAAATACTGGATAAAACTTACTAAAGATACACAATGCTGAGATTATCGAGGAATTAGAGATCTGAGAACTACAGTCATGTTAGCAGCATTCTGAATTACTGTTCCGGAGATGTTAAAGTAGCATATGCGTGGCTATGGAATTCAATTGCTTTATTATTAAATATCATATAGCATTAGAATGAGAGTAAATATAGTGTTTGAAGACTTCCCTACCAAATATCATATATGTCATTTTTAATTTTTCACTATATCCACTGAAATAAAACACCATTTCAAAGATCATATGGATTTAAGATGAACTCCATATCAAAGAGAACTAAGAACTCAATTTCTTAGTGTCTTACCTAAATTCTAATTAGCATATAAGTGAATATTTACCTTTTTCTAATGTCTCTGTCTTAGCCTTTGGATAAACTGCAAGAAAAATAATATGTGCATCAATTATCACGATTTATGTGGGTAAATTATATATAAATTTCAACTTAAACTAGGATGATGTATTTATTACCATTAAAATTATTCTTAAACATAATGTCAATAAATACCTTAAATTTCTTATTTTCTCTAAAAATGAAATGATTTTAATTTTTATAAATATGAAGCCATCTACATTTTAATATACTGTCTCAAAACCGGTGTTGAAAGTTTCTAACACATCAGCAAAAATAAGAATTCATGGTGAACTACATTTGCTATTTGAAACACCTCTGATTAAAAATCATTAAGATAATGTGAGATATGAGAGTAATTCAAGAGCACACTTTGCATGTGAAAACATAATTTCTATAGAAAGTTGACAGTAGAGGTAGAAGAAACCAGAATTATCTCCTTTCCTGATTCCCTCCCCTACTGCATTGTTTCAACCCAATTATAAGTTTTATTATCATTTCCAAGTACAGAAGAGAAATAGAGCAAAACGTATCTGTGACTTTTTGTGTGTGTGTGTGTATCCTCAAAGAATTAATGGAATCAGTCCTCTCAAAAACTAGAATCCTACTTGCCTTTGATCCACTATATTCAAGTATGGATTCTAAGTTTTAATTTAAGTGATAAATTATGAAATTCAAATTGATATACTATGTGAAGCTTTAATTTGCCCATGTAAACATCAGGAAAGCTGAATGGTGTTTGTTGTATGATCACTTGTTTTACAGAGAAAAGCTTTAATCAAGGCAGTTTATAATTAGTTGTATGGCCAGAGAAACAGAGGGGTTGTGGGGAAATGAGTTGGCTTATATGCCCTTTTCAGCCAAAAATCAGCAGTTAGGTTATTCTTTGGAGAATAAAACATATTTGAAAGAGAAGTTGAGGCCTCTTTTTAAATTTTCCTATGTTTTATTTAATAGTCTTTAATACATATAGTAAAATACATATATTTACATATTTTTAATATATATATTTTTTCCTAATTGTATTTTAGTTTTTTTTAATTTTTTTTAAATTTATTTATTTATGATAGTCACACAGAGAGAGAGAGAGAGGCAGAGACACAGGCAGAGGGAGAAGCAGGCTCCATGCACCGGGAGCCCGATGTGGGATTCGATCCCGGGTCTCCAGGATCGCGCCCTGAGCCAAAGGCAGGCGCCAAACCACTGCACCACCCAGGGATCCCCCTAATTGTATTTTAAATATTAAGGAAACCTCAGGAGTCTTTCTTATTGTAAATAACCAACTGTCAATGTGTTTCAATTAGATAGTGGATTGTCATAATAAGCTTATACTGAAATATTTTAATGTACAATTAACTTGTTACAGTTTTAATTGATGAGAACAAAGAAAGAATACATACAGATAAATATTACGTCAGACTAGATTGCTAATTAATCGCTTTCACTGTTTTGCCTGCTGACAATAGCCATTGGATGGGAACATAGAAATGCTTGATTTCAGTGTTCATGCAATATTAAAAGAGATAACTTGTTTGTTTCTGATTCCATTCCAAGTTGATTAATTTAGCTGGCATACATGTGAACTAACTTAAATGTGTGTTTTGGCACACACTACAATTCACATGTATTTGTAATACCAATGATTATCTTTGAGGATTCTGAAAATAACGTGGACACCCTATTTAGCTGATATTTATGCCAGTTACAATCTGAAGAAACAGTTAAGTTTTACAGCAAATTATCATCTTTTCCTAGATTTATTTAGAACATAACATTTATTAATGTCTTCAGGAGTAATGAGAGTATGTTTTACTAATTCTCATTTTAGTGATTCCTTGAACCCCAACATATGTGAATTCATACATTAAATATTTTATTATGAATATCATAATATAATTAACATCCAACAAATGAGTTCATAATTATATGACACATCTTAGTCATTGTAATTTCACCCCCATCCTTCATCTTTTTCTCTTGTGTGGGGGCGTAGAGGGTGGGGCCCTAAGACGAACTTTTAATGATTCTCATTTGTTGAAATCAGCCTCAAAAATATTCTAACCAGGTGGGAGAATGATTGGATGGGCAGAAGATTCTCAAGACTAAATAGGTCTTCATGATTCCAAACAAAACATGAAATGACAAAGTTAAAAATAAAGAGAATGGAAAAAGTATTTACATTCTCTTTAATTCCCTATGGAGAAAATTCTCATCTGAATCTCCATGAAAAGCCACACATCACAACTAGCTGAACCAGTAAAATAGTAATGAATATAAACAGCATATTCTAGAACCTTTAAACCTGTTTCAGGAATTGATGCAATTCTATGAAATTGAATGTAGATCACTTTTAACCATGTAGATCTCTTTCATCTAATTTTTTCATGTCCCACATTATATTACACCTATTTTTCAAAGCGATAACAACCTAAGATAACGTCATTTAGGCTATAGGGAAAAAAGCAAATAACCCAAAAGGCAAACATTTTGAAAGCCACGTATGTGAAGCCATTTTGTAAACTTAATTGTTATTTTTTTTAATTTATTATCTTTGCTTCCATGTCTCTATTATTATATAGGTAAATACACCAAACAAAATTATACATTGGAAAAAATGAATAAAATAACTTTACATGCAAAAGGAGAGCTGTGCATACATAGCAAACTAAACTCAGTCATAGTTCCTCTTCCCTGAACTATTTGGCTTGCTTTTGTCTCAAGCATGGTAGTTTACAAGAGAGAATTCTCACTGGTTTCCCCCAATCATACAAAACTTCAGCTTTCAAGCCTTAATATATAAAATGTAAATCACATTTTGATTTTCTGTCTCCTATATTTATACTATCTTCCCTTTACTAGGAAAAGCACTTAACAAGTGATATGAATTGCAATAATGAAGCTTTCATAACATTCTGTTCACAATTTACGCTGAAATTAACACACATTAAAACAACCAAAAATCTCTCTAAATAATCACCTTGATCTTTTGGTTAACTCTAAAATAATTAGGTTTTCGGCATAAAGAGGACCACTTTTGAGAGATTTCACTGGCTGCTCCTGTAATAATATTCCTACCTTGTCATGGCAACTAAGCAGCATTTTACCCATGCATAAAGACGTGAACTACAATGAACATAATGAAAAAGTATATAATTTAGCAGGTAGAGACAAATATTTTATTTGCACGCAGTTTTGCTATTCCGGGACAAACTCAAAGGGACTCTTTTGCAGACTTCTTCACTTTTTCTCTACATATGTCCACTTTCTCTCGTAAATTATGCCTCCAAACCCAGTGACCTCAGTGTCCTAATGTCCAATCTCCATATTCTCTATCGGGGAGACCCACGACCCCATGCTTGGGCTCCTCTCCTCTGGCTGTGGTTCAGAACCGCCTCTGTGCAGAGAGCTGTTGAGATTGCTGGGCTCACCTAATAGGTCTCCTTTCCCTCTGAGGCCATGGTCCTGCGCTGCCTCTTGACTAATGTCTGCAAACAGTTGCCTCAAATATATTTTGTCCAATTTTCCAGTCATTTGTATTATGTGAGGAAGTTCAGTTCCAGCTACTCTATTAGCTGAAGATGACATTTCCTCCTTAGGTGATTTTTTGAAAGCCTAGAAATACCTTTCCTATATGCCAATTATACTGAGCAGCAGTTCACTATACAAACACCCAGATACTCAAACAATAAGCGGCTGTTGAAAATGTGATAAGGAGGTGGAAGCAAGAGACTCCCATTTATATGCTACGTAGTAACTATGTGTTAGGAGATACCGTAAGCAAGGGGGTCACTGAAGAACCGAATAATTATATTCGATTGATTTCTAAAGTAAAGGGTAACTTTTGAACGATGGTGAAATGAAAGATTTGTGATTTGTAAAAAAGAAACAAGTATGTATTTGAGGACAGAGGCCAGTTGATGAAAATGTGTAGGCTGCTAACCAAAAACGTGAGAATTACAGAGAGCGAGGCAGCCAGGCTTCTAGCCAAGGTGCTGAACCTCAGTGCTATTCAACCCAACACAAAAGGGTACTTGGCCCAGTAGGGATGAGAACGAGATACAATGAGTGGAAAATGACCGGGCAATCACCCAAACCGAGGCCCCGCAGAGGCCTCTGAACTGCTTCCTCTGTGTTCACAATATGTCCAGCACTTCCAAAGAGAAGAAAGAAGAGGAAATAGGTGCTCAAGGTCAAAGAAACATATTAACATTGAAATTATCAAATCTATACTTAGATCTAATAACCCTACATTTTTTTTTTTTAGTTAAAGGAGTCTAAAGGCTCATGGGTGATAAGCGTCCCCAGAAACCTACCTCTTACACATTTTTCTTCGCACTCTTCCAGACTTTCAAATCGATTTTGATTTCCTTCACATCCCCCATATATAAATTCTTCGCACTGTTGAGTGTGAATGTTGAAAAAGTAATTCCTAATCATTGCTCTGCATGGGCCATTATCCGCTTTCAAAGCACAAAACGAATGTAAAAGTCTCAGTGGTGGCAACTCATCTACAAGGCAAAAATAGAAGGTATATAACACTCACCAACATGGTGATACTGTTCTGTATTTCCTCTTTGTTTCCTTATCAGTACTCTTTTTGTCTTATAAAGTACAAGCGAAATAAGATAGGCCGAAGAAACCAGGACAAATTATTCGAAATTTTCAAGAAGGTAAATAAAGTTTATAAACTTTATCGATAAAAGTAGATAAAAACAGGTTTTATCAACAGTGATAGTATCAACTCTTAAAAGAAGATGTCAAATAATTTTTTCTAGACTCTTGTTAGGGATTTGGCTTAAACATACACTAATTGACCAATATGGAACTGAATAGTAGTTGTAAAGTAACCAATGTGTTGACACTGCAAGTATGTAGACACATCGTTTTAAACTCAGCAGTTTCTAAGGACAGACATTAATGGACAGCTCTTTGATTTGCTCTCCCTAATCCGTGGTTGTGTCATGTTTTTACACATAAACAACTTTTTAAAAGCAACAGTATATCCATAATCATATATATATGCATATATCACACTATATTAAACCATTCCCTAATCATGAAAATGTTAGTGTTTGGTATTACAAATACATACACATCATGGTCCATTCTTCTACTTACCAGGGTTGGTTTTTTTAACAATAGCGGGAAAATTTAATGCTGTCCACGGGACACCTGCGGGGCTCAGTGGTTGACTGTCTGCCTTCGGCCAAGAGCGTGACCCTGGGGTCCTGGGATCGAGTTCCACATCGGGCCCCCTGCACGGCGCCTGCTTCTCCCTCTGCCTGTGTCTTTGCCCCTCTCTCTCATGAATAAATAAATAAAATCTTTAAAACAAAAACAGTGCTGTCCACATTTTAAAAGAATGAGGCAATTCTTTTGATCTTGAGTTAGAATTTTTTTTCCCTCAGTATCCAGTCACTTATTTTAGTCACAGAGGAATTTCATATCTTGGGAAGACACTTGAGAAAACTAAATTTTTAAAATTTTATAGAGTCTAATAATATTGAGAGGCCTAATTTTAAAGAAGTTGCATTTGCTTATAGAATCTATCAGTAAGACAGACCCTGAAAATTGTAGTTGCTAATACCAAAATAATAAGACCAATAATGCCATTAATACTCCTTGATTATTGTCTATGATATATTTTCTAAGACTTTCAGTATTTACTATGATCACTTCCGAGAGACATTGAAACCTTAAAATGACCTAAGCCAGTTTGCCCTTTAGAGGGCAGCAGTATTCTACCAAATTAAAACTGAGTTAAATCTAGGTTATCTTCCCAAAGAGGGTTTTATTTAATGCACTATAAAATAATATACTTTGAAAAATATGAATGGATGTCATCATTTAAAATTACATAAAATTTTTTAAAAGCATTAAATTAAAGAACAAGTTTGTGAATATATAATCATCTAGAAGGATCATTTTTGATTGTCCTATAGTTTCAAAACTTTTCTGAATATTTTGAAAGAGAAGATACACCCATCATAAAAGGTGGATTAGATTATTTTATCAAATCTTTCCTACCCTCCAGCTATTGTTATCTTAATGATCCGTATCAAATTAATGTCCCGTATTAGCCACATTTCAGTAATGTTAAAACTCTTTATAATAAAATAATTGGAATGTTATTTTATATTTTCTATATGGGTCATAAAACAATAAGTAAGCCCTGAAATCTTAGGATTAAAAACATATCCTTCTACACACAAGTTATTATGAAGTTGTTTCACACTCATTTGACAGTAATTATTTATGAACATGTGAGTTTTATCTCACTCATGCAACTTTTAAACATAAAAAAAAACCTAAGTTTAGTTTACAAAATACCAGATCACAGTTTTGATTTCCTTGATAACTGAATTGACCTTTTTTTCAATTGAAATAATAGAACCGACAAAAATGATAGAATGGTAAATTTTCAGACCCCAAATCTGATAAGGTGGAGCAACATAAAACAGAGATTTATTACGACACATAGACCTTCATCTACAAAAGACATGGGTATTTTCAGCACCAAACACAATTTTCATGAACTGGTTAATTAGCAAGTTATCTAGTTAATACTGGTCAAATCTTTAAGTAACGTTGAGTTGTATGCCCCTGTGCACTTGACTGTTTTCAGCTTCCTGTGAGGTTGTGTGCAATCGAAAATGTAAAATTTGGGTGTTTAATTTTTTAAAATAATTTTCACACCAACTATATAGTACCCATAAAGCCAATCTCTAAAATACATATGTAAACAGTTTACCAAAATGAGTAAATAACTATTGATTGATGTCTATAATTTTTTTGTTATTTTTCTTTTAAATGATGTACCTAATATTTTCTGCCAATTAACATATTTGAATGCGATCAACTTTATTTATTTATATTTATTTATTTTTTAAAGATTTTATTTATTTTTTCATGAGAGGCACAGAGAGAGAGGCAGAGACACAAGCAGAGGGAGAAGCAGGCTCCACGCAGGGAGCCCAACAGGGGACTCGATCCTGGGACCTCAGGATCACGCCCTGGGTCAAAGACAGCACTAAACCTCTGAGCCACCCTGGTTGCCCAGTTGTTGTTTTTTTTTTTTTTTTTTTTTTTTTTTTTTTTTTTTGACAAATTGCATCTAAGACATTTCCCAAGAAAAATGTCACTTCCATAAGTGACTATTTTTCCCACACAATGGAGAAAAATATATTAAGTGACTATTTTTCCACACAATGGAGAAAAATATATTAAATTTTTGGATTAAAATTGAGAGCTTTCAATAGCTGAAGAAGATGAATGTTTCTAACGCTTTACCTGTAATGCCGGGATATTCTTCACTTTCATCAAGGACGGCATTAAGAGGGGCAGAGGCACAATTAAGCAGCAGATATGCAGACACCCAAAAAATCTGTTCTTTCTTCATTGTATAAATCATCTCTGAAATACAGAACCCAGATATATTTAATGAAGAGTTAATGTCGAGTTATCTGTAGACCACCAGGAGCCTTATGCACACCTCCAGATGTAAATTTTTATGATACTTAATGCATATTCTCATACACCTCTGTCCACAAATTCCATGAGTCATAAGTAAAACATGTATATGTAGCATTTAATATTGTAGACATGCCTATGTTCAGTGCATATGTTTAACATGTCTAATTTCAAGTTTGCAACTCATATTTCACCCTTGAAAATAAAATTAAAATGGCAATAATTGAGAGACATCCGTTAATACCGATCAACGTGGCTAAATATGGACTAAGATCCATTTGCACTTCTATTTGCCGTATCTTTCTCACAGCTCTTCTTCTTTCTCAGTCAGAATTAATTATCTTTTAATATTTCTGGCATTTTTCTGTTATTTCATTAGTACAACTTTGAATTCCTGATTTCTCTTTCCCTTGACTTCAGTCTTTCTCTTCAAAAAGAAAAGACATTTTCCAAATTTTTGTCTTTGTTCCCTTTGAAATATATTTATGCTTTTACAACCAAGTTCCCAGCCAGATTTTCCATGAGATGGCAGACAGAGCTGCTGAAAACAGAAACGTTTAGCATTCTAGCAAGTCCTTTACCCCAGTCTTGCACCCTCGATTTAGGCAGTTAACTGATTCAAAAGAGTTTCATAGAAAAGCGACTTTAAGTGATAAACCAACACATTTGCACTCTAAGGGAAACAGATTTCATCAGGAAAGTGAGACTTCCTCCTTCAAAATGATTTAGAGATCCACATTGAAAAATAATGGAAAACCACATTGAAATTTTGTTAAGGCTCTTTCTACTTTGGATTCAGGGGTGGAAGGAAATGTGTTCACATAGCGTAGGAAACGAAAACCAAGGGATGTATGCAGAGGTTCAGCCACTGATGTTATCAGAGTCAGGAAGGAAAGAGAAATTTTATCAGTAAGCTCTCAGGAGTCTCTGTTTACTCTTCGAGCGAATGGCAGTGATTAAGGGACAGGCAGGCTTAGGTAGGGACACACGGGCAGGGGCCACGGGAGCCGCCTCACACAGCGGTCCCCAAAATGCTGAGATGGAAGGAAACCAGAGATAAGGGAGCAGACCACCACCTGGTCCCAGACGTTAGGGAGTCTTTTTCTTTCATGGCTGTGGTGCAATCACAGAAGATGACCAGGCCGCAAAGAAGTCAGTCACGAAGGTGTTACCAATAGGCCTTGCTCCAAGGAAGGTGGCACAGCAACATCAAGGCCAAGGCTCCCTAGTCAAGTGTTCAATAAAACCTCCAGTGGCCACCGGGTCGGGAGCCCTCTCACTCCCAGAGCCCTGTCTGTGTCCTCGCTCAATCAACGTCCATCCCTTTGCTCACTGTCCTGTGTCCCCGAGATTCATTCTTCAGCTCCGGGAGATAAGAACCCTGCTCTCACGCTTCAATAGCTGCAATGTACACCGTGAAGGTGTCTGTAGCTTTATAATGAATAATAAGGTGATGCCATTTCGGTTTAAGCTTCATGAAAATCACTAGTGAATGTACAACCTATCCTTTCACCCACTTTGTACATATTAATATATATTTGATTTTCAGTCAGTAGCCACGTTATGTACCTTCCATGTCATAACCTATTTGAATCCACGGATATACATGTGTGTCTATGTGTGCATATAGACACACACACACACACACACACACACACATATATATATATATATATAATTTTGGAGAGTCTATCAGCTAAACTTCTAGCTTTTATCTTATTTTTGAAAATGCATTTTTTCAAGAACTCTTCTATTTCCAGAGCTATACAACCCTATTCGATTTTGAGTGTAAAATATAGCACGTTTTTCTATCCCTTGGCTTGGGGAGCAGGCCACAGTTGCGTGCCTGAAGACCTTGATGAGCTTTGGGTTCTAAGCCCAAGTGACTTTCTTTAAAACTATCAGCCTTGAATGTTGCCTAATTGTAGACATTTTAGACTTTCCTCAGTTGCAAGGATCAGAAGCCAGCTCCAACAGGTTGGGTCAAAAGGCCACCAGCTCATTCATTCTAGAGAAGGTGGGACCATCTAGGAGTAGAAAGGAAGGTTTGGGGTTGGAGCCGAGGGCCAGGGAGCCGAATGCCACCAGGAGTCTCTCGGAGCACTTGCATTCCTTAGATGAGCCTTAGTCTGGTTCAGCATAGCCCAGCGTGCCCTAGGTAGAGGGGTGCACAGCCCCGATATTTCCAGGGTCTTAAACCTTGAAAGTCTTCCATTCAAAGAGTGTGACTGCTTCTTTTGACGGACGTGTGTCAAACAGCTTGAGTACAGCACTGATGGTTTCAGTTTGGAGGAAGTGCCCCCTCACCTCTGGCCAGGTGTGTCTAAGGTGAAAAGCTGTCAGGAGACTAGCATAGATCTGGAGGAGCCGAAAAGGACTTGCTCTGGGGTTGCAGAGTAGGATGGGGTAACATTGCAAATCCCAGCCCAAGTATGCAGTTTTAGGATGGAACGGACAAGGGCAGCCCCAGGAGGAGTGGACTGCTGCTTCCAGGAGAAGGGAAGGGTGGCGGACAGATAACCCTGAGAGCGTGCACCATAGCAAGCCGGAGCTGACTCCGGGCTGATCCAGAAGTTGAATTCAATTAGCCGAGTGCCAGTTCAGTGCTCTTTCTTCTCCACAATGTTGCCTCTGAAGAGTGACCAAGAGCACTGAGTAGCTCAGCCTCCCAGGGCAAAAGATTGACTTGGGCACACCACTGGAAAAACCAGTACAGCTTCTTCTGACACTGATAAAACTATAATTTGTAGAGATCAATTAGAGCGAGCTGACCTCATTACAGATCGTTGTATTTAATTTCCTTTTTAAAATTTCCAAGTACATCACTAAGTTACGTTGCAAAGTGGCAAACAAGACAGCAGACCACCGTGCCTTTCTGCCCTCTACTTTCCCGAATAGCTGGTGCCATTAAAAATAGCTACTCCCCTACCTGGTATCATACAGAAAAACGGAAGCAAAGGAGTTCAAAGATCGGAATGGGAAAGATAAAACATTAAACTTCATAAAAGAAACATAGGGGAATATGTTCGTGATGAGGTTGGTGAAGATTTCTGAATCAGGATACAGACAGCACCAATTATAAAGTAAAATACCGCTAATTGGATTTCATTAAAATCAAAAACTTCTGCTCATCAAGATGAGCACCACTAAGACACCGAAAAGGCAAGTTGTAAGAAAGTGTTTGAAATCATGTATCTGGAGATTATGCATTAAAAAATCTATAAGGAATTACAAATAAACATCCAATTAAAATGGGGTAAAGATTGGCCGGGCACTTCTCAGAAGATGATAGGCCAATGGCAAATAAGCATATTAAAAGATACTCAACATAATCAGTCGTCATGAAAACTAAGATTAACACTACTGTGAGATAGTACAACGGAAATTAATAAAAATTGACCTTCTAAAGTGTTGATGATTTGAGCCTTCACCATTGCTGGTGGGATTATGCTATCACCTGAATTATTTTGTGTTCCCCAAATTCTTATATGGAATCCCAACTCCCAACTATGCTGGTGTTAGGAGGTAGGGCCTTTCAGAGATGATTAGGTCTTAGTGGGGAAGATTCCTGTTCTTATAAAAGGTACCCCACAAAGATCCCTCATCCCTTCCACTATGTGAGGACACGAGCCAGGAGGAGGACTCTCCCTCTTGCTAATCCCCTTTAAATTTGAATTCAATATCAGAAGTTATTTAAGCAAGAAAATATTATAAATATGTGTCGTGTTGGTGACTAGTTGTGTATAATAATACGTTAGACACTAAGAGAGATTAAAAAATCGAGAGAAACCCTTGGCCCTTAGGAAAGTATGCATAACCAAGTGAGTTAAGTAAAAATGCGATGTTAAATGCCTAAATTCTCAGGATGTCTTTGTATACGCCAGGCACATAGTAGTGGACAATAAATACATGTTCAATTATTTACCTTGGATAAGAATAGTATTTACATTTTGGGACAACAAACTAAAAACCCGAAAACTTAGCTCTGCCAGCAGCCTGTTAAGTAATCTTTGGAAATAAATTTAAATTTCTAAACCTGATTTATAAAACTCATGACTTTGGCTACATTGTCCTTAAGTTCCATCCCAGTTCTAAAAATGTATTCATCTTAATTAACAGATTTTATACATTCCACAGAATAATTTATGATTCTGTTGTATAACTTACATTTTCTATTCACTTTAATGCTAATCTGCAGTGTCAATTTTATCCTTTTAGGTCAAGATGTGTTCTCAGAATACAAGTTCAGCAAGATGTTATTAGCTGTTACATTAAAAAAGTGTTCTCATAAATAAGTAAATAAAATCTTTATTAAAAAAGTGTTGATACGTTAATATATATGTATATCTGATTTAAAAACATATAGGTTTCTCAACTGTAGGACTTTTATAGCATCTTTATTATGGTAACATGCAACTGTATCTTCTATGGGAGAATATAGTAAATGTATTTCCAAACTTATATGACAAAGGGCTATTTGCCCACAAAACATTTTTGGAAAATATCTTGACAAATAATGTGACATTTTAAGGAGAGAAGTCAGTAGATTTTCCGAACCAGAAAAATATTAGAAAGTATGATGTGATCTGTGCTTCAATAAAATCCAGCATGTATGGAAAGATGTTGGGAGGGCAAAATTTAAGTGGGATTGACCGCTCAAATGATGCAGAGGATCAGATTGAAATTATGAACAGGGACTATCCATGGAACTACAGAGAGACAGCAGGTCTGAGACACTTTTTGAATTAAGTATTGATAAAATTGAGTAATTGATTAAATACAAGATATGAAGGACAGAGAATTCAAGTATATCCTGAGAGAATTATTGTGCTAGCCGTACAAATAGGGAAATTAATGTTACTGTTTTATTGATTGGGGTGCATATTAGTGATGAATTTAATCTGGACAGATTGTATTTGAGGTTGTGTTTTCTAAGCGGACCC